CGTCCGGCATGTCAAACTGGACTCTTGTACAAATTTGTTCTGCCGCTATGCCACTTTCACGGAACGAGGTTCAAGCCCTCAGATTCACAACGGTTCACTGAGGGACTGGCGGCACTCCAAGTTCTTCTCTCACATTCCCATCCTGTCAACAGAGCCGCCTTTGTTTGAAAGTGTCTGTAAGAGTTGACGTCGAGCGTCCTTGGACTTCCGCGTTCGCGAAGGCTGCGATTCTGAGCCCTGGTCCTTTGCTGGTGTGTAACCGCATGTTGGGGCAAATGCATGCAGCGAGAAGTACATGCACACGGCTCAAGCAAAGCGAGGCTGGACACATGACTCTGATACTACATCTCCCTGCGTGACAAATGCATCACGAAAACGTGGGCCTAAGCCTCCAACATGTCGCGATCTTAGGCACAGATCACATGGGTAAGCCCTGAACGCCGATGTACGCAGCAGCCGGCAGTGGCGATTTGGCTTCAAAGCAGGTGTGTACTCGGCTTGACGTTCAAGCCACGCTGCGGACGTCCAGAACCATGTGCGATGCACTACCAGTGCCAATGCAGTTCTTCGTGGGCGCCGGCGCTCTGACGGCGACTATCAGTGTAACTCGCCTCGGCCCCGACCGAAGCGGTCCTTCTCCCCAGTGACCCACCCCCTGCTCCGGGGCTCCACTAACCCTCTTCCAAAATTGGATTTCGGGTTGGCAACCTCTCTGCATGTACAGACTGCTGGCGGAGCCCCCCCTCCCCGACCCCGCGCCGCTTCCTCATGTCTTCCTTGCGGCCAGACAAGACCAGCCTTACATCACTCGTGAAGTTGATACCACAGCCTGGGAATTCTGAGGTTGTGTCAAGTCGTGTACTTCCTTATTACGGAGCTTGATTCCCCTTCCAACATACAGAGGTGTGATACGATTATTACAGCAATGCCTATGAGATAATGCAGGGAATGTGCCACCTTTCGCGTGGGATTATTGCTCGGGGCCTCAGCATGAAAACAACTACTGACATTAAACAGCATTCTCAAGCAAATGCGCTCATTCACTCAGGACCCCACCCGTGACCTACCCATTGCTTCCCGAAACAACGCACCTGCTTCAAGTACAGCCGGGCCGAGTTGGACGACACGAAGCGTTTAACATTAAACATCTGTGCAGTTTGCGGGAATTCCGGCCTCAAGCCTGCCAGTCCCCTCGGCTGGATTGGTGTCTCGAGCTCGGGGATTTCGGTTTCTAGGGGGAAATCTAGAAGGGCCACGAAGACGAAACAATATTCGTCTTTCCCACAAATGTAACTCAAGCCCATCTGTGAACATGCAAGCACTCGGTTAAATAAGGGAAGGACATGTCGAATCGAGATGAGTGGAGAAGAAACGGAGGTGCTCGGGCCAGGAGCTAAAGGATGCCACAGGACAACATGTCCTTTCACCATCCAAGTCACTGTTAGGACATCCTTGGCCCGCTCGGCTGCAAGCTTGTTGATTGGGCCACCATGGCCGTCCTGAATGTGCTTCTGCGATGCATGAAACAATCTCAAGTAATTGGGTGGCTCCTTCATCAACCAGCCCACCCCCAAGCGTGTTGGCCTGGTCAGAAGTCTTTGTGTCTGCGTGATCTATTGCTGCAGCCGCAAAATGCCCCGACATCGGCGAAAATTTTGCTCCGCGCTTGCTCCCTGCCGGTGCACTTCTTTGTGCAGGCTTGCCACACTGGCCCTGGCAGTAATCAATGTCAATGACTAGTCAGGGAGGGTATCAACATCGACAACAAATGACAAACAACACGACCCCCACATCCCCTACTGCCCCATGTCGCATGTCGCCTGCATCCATCCAATCTCTTGTTGGCAAGTCTCTGGAAACCTGGGTGAAGCACAACTTCCTGACTTCTTTGAACAAACCGAACTTCGCTGCTCTTTCCGCTTTTCGTCCCAGCCACAAATGTCGCTCCCGTGGCCCGGCCTCCACTCGCAAAGCGGATGGCAATGAGCAACGTGCGGCCAAGGAAATGCGAACTACTGACTTTGGCCATCTCTAGCGATCACAGACGGCAAAGAACAAACATGCAGGGCTTGTCAAAAAAACAGTTCGTTTGGCTTGCCCTACCCCAAATAATCCATTGAGATTCCCTGGCACAAGCTCGCCCAGAGCCTATACTAGACAACTGCTCTTGTTACTCTAGCCAAGCATACTAATGTTATAGACGACTACTGGCAAAGGCTATGGCATCCCAGTGTCTTCACCGCACTTCGATGGTCTTGCACCGTGGTGTCATGGTTTGAAGAAGTACATTCTCCTCCCAAGTCTCAAAAAATTGTGTAAACGCCGAAGAAGCACGGTAGAACGATTCAGTTCCCAAAAGCCTAAACACCAAAAGCCAGAAGCATAGAGACTTATGGCAAAGTGCCTTAACCGAACTTCTACGCCTCAGCAACAATGCCCTTCATGATCTTCTGCTATGACATTCAGGCCAAGGAGTTTAGGGTTGAGGATCCAAAGTATCCAAAGCAAAGCTCTTGATCCTATGCTTCTCAGCCAGGCCCTTCTTGATTTTGGAAGACCGGTGACCACGTACTTATCATGAATCTCAAACCGAAATAGCCCGAAAGGTATGCCGTAAGTCACCTCAAAATCCTTCACATTGTAAAGCCCAGTCACTTAAGCAACAAACGCCAAGAGCTCTCATTTATGCTACTATTGTTCTTGTGTTTGTTGTTCCCCGGCCTGGTATAGTATAGATCACGGGCGGGAAAGGGCAGGACGGTCATGCAATGCTTGTCAACGTCAACAAGCCCCGTTGTTCACCCTGCCGTTTCGTGATGGTTGACGTGAAAGAATAAACATGTCGCAAACAAAACATTTCGTGAACTCCCACCCACCGCCCTGGCTCTCCCTACCCCCAAACCCCCCACCCCCCCGCCCCTTGCTCCCCATGCCTCCCGGCTTTGTTCAAGCCGCGCATGAGAGGTCTACGGTTACAACTCACCTTGCAATCCAAGCACGTGGCTCGGTTCATTCAGGGTCACAGTGCCCAACTGAGGTCAATCAGAATCAATGGAGCGTCGCAGAACTTCAATTCTACAGCCCACCCTTATGTCGGTATCATCATCGTGTCTGGGACCCCGTCGCTTTGTTGGTTCATGCAACGGCGGAACTCCGTAGTCATAGTGCCAGCTGGGTCCCAACCTGGCGGGGGCACTAGGTATGCAAAGGTATGCAACAGCGCCGCAACAGGCACCCGCTCACAGGCCTACAGCAGCAGGGTTAAAGCCAGAGCCTCTTCGTCAAAGTGCGCCAGTTTTGGGAGGTTCAACTGGGTTCGCATGGCAACCATTCAATGCAATTGCCTGAGGCCTCCCGTGGATCCATGTGGCCCGGCCTGCAGCGAACAAGACTGCGCCGCCCAGCGGCAATGCCAGCTGAAAGCTTCCAAGCTCCGGACTTGAACTTGGTAGGTACTCCTGGCACCTGCATAGCACACATGAATCCTCGAAACTCGGCAGTTTACTTCAGAGAAGCTTTGGTTCCTGAAGTTTCACCTCACTGCTTTCGGCATTCTGATCCAGCCGAACCTGAAGTCTCAAGCCGAAAGCATGCGACCGGAAAGGTCATGCCTTCGGAAGCAAACGCCTTCTCACCCCCCTTAAGTCAACAGGTCCAACCGTCCAATCCTCAAAAGGCCCAGTGTGGAATGTTGTTCCTTCATGACCTTAGTGTTGCTGTTTGTGCTCGCCGGATCTTGACACCTCGCCTGGCCTGGCTGTCCTTGATATGTAAGGAATCCGACATCAACAGCCAACGGAAACATGTTCAATTCTGCGGGATTGACAAAGTGGCTGTCCCCTCAGTGCCCCTTCTCTTTGAGGTCAGCATTCCGCCACCTCATACAGACCCGGCAGCCGAGCATTGGCTGTCGAGTCTGCGCTGAGTCCCTACTCGCACGCGATGGTGGTTACATGTCATAGTACGACATCTGGAAAAGGAGTGCGAGGTTGATTACATCGGCATCACGCCGCACGTGTTGGCCGGCCCCCGAGCGGCAGGTCTTCGATCGACTTAACCATGAGCTTGCATCCGCCACAGAAAAGACGAATTTCCAGGGGTCCGACATGCAGTAATTGGTGCTGAGTACGTGATCCCCCCATTGCCACTCGGAATGCTGCCTGTTGGTTGGCTCAGCCACTCGAGCGGTAAAAAAGCTGTTAGATGCCGAGGTCGAACCAGAATTGAGAGTCAACAGCCCATGTGGCGATTGATCTTGCTGGGATGTCGTGCGTGTGTCACTTGTGCGCATGTCCAGCTCGAACACGAATGCTCGCAACCCGTTCCAAGTAAGCGCAGGACGCTGACTGCCGCTCGGACAGAAAAGCCATCCGGACGAGATTTCGCGTTGATTTCCTCCTTCTGAATCCTGGCTTGCCAGTGGCTGGCACGACTGCGGCTCGCATCGCTTCAACGCTGGGGTCCTCTGGGCCCAAAGTATGTGATCGGCGGCAGTGAGGCCAGGTCCGCCAGGCATCGCGCACCAAAGCTCTCAGTGCTGTATGCAAAATTATGAAAACAGTGGATCACAACGAGTCTGCTGCCACCAACTCTAGCCAACCAGTATGGCAAATACTCGACGGAAACCTTAACCGAGAGCCGACTGCCAACAGCAGAATTGAAGACACGCTAAGGATCTCCCAAACACTCGTTTTGCTCAAGCGACGTGGACGATGCACATGTTCAGTGCATGTGACAAGATGCGACTCAAGAAGGACATCCGACTGCGGACGTCTCAGTGGTATTTGCCGTGTGCTTGTTGCCTTTGAGACCACGAAAATCTACGAAGGCTGTCAAAACAAATTGCAAGCTGCAGCTTGCCGATAACCATCATCTTTGGCCTGAAGCTAGTGTTGTATTTCGCGCATATGCTGCAGCCACCTAGGCGGCTAATGCGGCGAATCATGTTCGTTAGCATCACAATGCGTAAGACTACCGTTTTCCTTGCGCAGCACGTTCTCTCAACGCCCGGCGTGCGTCTGGCACACAGTGCCTTGGTCGCATGTCTGGCTGGCCCATGCGCTCGCCACCCACTTTTCACCTTATTTCGATACCGACGTGGTCTACAGCGAGATGCCAGATTGGGTTGCGAGTGACATAGCAGGCTATACAGCCAAGAAGCCTTCCACAACTGGACAGGCGACGTGCGCACCAGGGACTTCCAATGAACCGTCCTCTTGTTAAGAGAACTCAGCCGCTGCGGATTTTTTCGTTACTGGCTTTTCAGGGCCAAGATAAGAAGAGTCGGGTCTTATTAATCTTATTCACAACCCAGCTTTGTCCGACATGTATACGCACACAGACACATGCCCGCACTTACACTTATGCTTGACATGGGCAACTGCGACGTGCCGGACCAGACGACGACAAAATGAAATTCAGGATCACATTGTGAACAGTTCAGACATGTCACGACATGAAAACAGAAAGCTCTATTCTTGGTGCCACAGGGGCCGCCGGCTAAGCGCCCTTTTCCGAAACCCCAACCCGAAGTAAGTGCTATCCCAGCAGCCATACATCACGAACAAACTGCCACGGGATGACGTCATGAAAACACTGACTGGTTTATTCTGGTCTATTTTCATTTACATGTGTGATTCTTTTTTGTTGTGTTATGACTGTTATGTTTTTGTTTGAGATGCGAGGAGTGCTGCGGGTCCAATTTCTTGGTTTTGCGTGTTGGTCTTCTGCGACGACTTACTTCGATCTTCGATCGCAAGTTGAGGGCCAGCTGAACACCCAGCCTTGTAGGACCAGTTTTCAGCATGGAAGGAACAACCTTGAAAAACCCTGCAAAGACTGAGCCAGATACTATCCTTTTGTGCATGCATAGTAAGATAGTTCCAAGACTTTGGTGCGAGGTTTGACGAACAGTCTCAGCAAAGCGCAAACAAAGACGAATGCATACAAGTTAACCTTAGTTTCGGGCTCGAGAGTTAGATCCGCACAACGGAATTGGATCCAGGAAGAGCTTACGGAAGTCTGCGCCGAGGTGTGTGAGGTGAGCCAAGGGGCCGCATTCCAGTCGTTCCTCCATGCAAGCATTCGCCCAGGAACGGGACAAAAGCAAACGGCGCCAACCTCGGTAGGCCAGGCGCAGCAGTAGCAACACATATCGCTCCTGCTGCAGTCGTGTGGGTCATTCCAGCCTGGAGGCAGCTTGAAGAAGTTCGGCGCAATGCATGCGGTAACGTCCTCATGCAGCTTTCTGGTCACACGTATCTCTCGCGTGTCAGCTGAAGGAAGCTGTCCAGCTCCCCACGGATGCAAGCTGAAATTCCAGCCAGCCGGCCTCAGCCATTGCATCGTTTGTGAAGCCACAGCAGATATACACCCGCCCCGCCTCCCGCCCCTGTCCTTTAAATTTAGTCCTTTTCACCGGGTCGCAGAAGGCAGGTCTCGCCTCCTTTGATTGGAGCTTGGAGATACACCAAGAAAGACAGACGGCGATGCCCTGGCCAACCGCTGTCCTTAACGACGCGAGCTTCAAATGGCTTTTGCCTATCCCCGCTCAGGACGATCCAGAATCGACAGCCGACACTGGGTTGACACAATTCCCACGTTTTGTCTGCAATGATGAACTGAACATCAACATGGGAAAGAAATAGCTGCATTTTCCTCAGGCATCCAGGAGATTCAAAGCTTGGAAACCAGCATGAATGGCGCCAGCTTCCTGGGCCACCTTTACAAATTTTCGCTTCGCTGTTCGATCACTGGCACAGGATTAGGCCGCGGCAGAGTGACCTAGTTCTCGCAAGTACCGGCACAATTAAACAAAACGCTCTTATGCTTCAACCGAGGGCTCGGAATGTGGTGCGTAGTGTCCATTCTTTGTATAACGAATTACCTGCAGTGGTTCAACCTGCAGTTCCAAATAGCTCCAGGAGCTATTGGCCAACAGGGGCTGCGCTCGGATCTTCAGCTGGAATGCAAGCGCTGCTAACAACTCCCCAACATCCCATGGCAGTGCAGCTTGGAACGAGTGCCTCGCTAGCCTCTCTGGGCGGTGTTCAATTATTCGGGCAGCTGCTTCCCTGCTGCGAAGTGCCAGAGTTGCCAGGTTATCATCGTCATCCAGCCACGCCAAAGATAAGTTTGGTTTGCCGGTGCTGGCAAAACTCCAGGCTCTCGCATCCTGCGCAGAAAAAAGTGGAGCATTTAGCAGGGACCTCGCTGCAGCTGCAAGTTCCAGACCACTTAGATCTCCAGATGCATCAAAGTCGAAGAGATGGAAGCTGAAGGACCGGGTTTGAAAAACCAACCTTTGCATTGCCCGCTCCTTTGCGAACGAAGGTTTCATTCCCTTTGCTCGTGCCAGTGATATCAGGTGAGCAATCGTCTCCAGTGAGAAACGGTTCTGTCCAAAGATAAGGCGTGTCGACGGCCAGCAATATAGGTACTACCCGTGCAATCACAAGACCACGATTCGCTGCCTTCCCTGTCGATGTCATGGAAGCTCATCCGCTGGAGGTCATGGCTGCCTGGCCAGCACTGGAGAAATCTTTTCGAATTTTGCAATGATTCGTTCTTTGCAGCGGTTTTCAGAAAATGAAGCACGCCAGCTGATCCAAAACAGCTGCAAGAGAAAAAACATGGTGCACGACAAGAAACAAATGAACAATCGTCGGCGATACAAGTGGGCTCCGAACAACAAGCCTCCTCAACTCAAAGCCAAACAGGCCTCAACTCCCAAATGGAACCTTATGTGCTGACTACCTGGACCATGTCTCGCTTGCCCCATCCCATCAAACTCCACCCTGCTTAGCAGACGGGGTTTGGCCCGGATAACACCACACACTAGCAAACTCTTGAGGTTTGCAGGTTCTGGTCTCAAAAGAACTCCTTGGAAGCAGAAGAACAAACAAATGAGAAATGGGGACAACTGTCATAAGGATTCCAAGCAATGCAGTTGCAACACCTTGCGGCTATCCCGAAGATGTCTCTAAAATTTCGGCTTCCAAGCGACCGTAAATCAGGACATCTAGTTTCTGCTTGGATTCGTTCCCAACTAATGTGCTACTGTCTCTTGTGGCCCCCCAAACCATCAAACCGTTTCTCGGCGGCCTGATGAGTGTGCTTCTGTGTTCTTTCGCGGACCCTTCTGCGCTGGAGCGGGAGCTGCAGAGGGAAATAAGTTTTGTGGCGGCTGGGGGGGGAGGGGGTGGGGTCGTGCTGAGCTGGGAGACAAGCTCTTTAGACCAAATGTTGCAAAGGCTGTGACCGAACTCCTGCCCATTTTGGACTAGCTTGAAAGTATGATGCGGTCTCTATTTCTATTTGCGTGTCCGTTCATGAGCTCGAGTAACGATGATCTTCTTCGCAATAGACTGTATCGCTCGAGACGATTATCACCTCTGCTTGAAGTGGACAGAGACTTCTTGCAGGCTGCATGAGGTAAATAGTTTGCAGCCGAAGCCGATTATTGCTCGTTGGAATGCCAGCCATGGTCGCTGCTCTCCCCGTCATGGGGAAACTAGAAGCAGAAGCACTGAAGGCTGCACCGGATAAACAACATGTGGTTATGTGGAAAGAAACTGAACACAAGCATCCCAATGCATTGACCTGTTTTGTTTCTGAAGTGATCATCCATCGAGTGAAAAATGAAAAAGCAAAGCTGTCGGATCATGTGTCATCCACTGATATGATAACAAAGGTAAAATTTTCTGGTGTCAAAAGCTGTCATTTGATTGAAGATTGGAACAAACCACGCGTTCTTGCCGAAGCCGTATGGATGTTGGTGGGCACACGACACGACGATATCCAAGTATACGTGGCCTTCATAAGGAAAAGAGCGATCAAAAGCGACGTACACAAAGCATCGGACCATATTCCTTGGTAACGGCATGCCGGCTTGATTTGCAGTTCTTTTCATGGCTGCGTCCTACCAGCTCAGAGAAGTCTTGAGCATGCTTCGAATCACAACTGAACAATGCATTGAACGGGTGTGTTACACCTCCCGGATTTCTTACAAAACTGAGCATGAGCTCTTCTGTAGTCGCACAAATGGGGCATGGAGCATCTTTACAGCAGTAGTGTTGAACTGTCGACCACTTCGAGTGCAACTGCTGTTTCGTTCGACTGGCTTTTGCAGAGGCTGTGTCCTGTGCGCTGATCACCACAGCTCCATCTCTGGGATCTAGCTTTGGTGCTTTGGTAATTCATGATGCGAAATTTGTCTCGACATCGAAACTGAGCCGTCGTTGGAAAAGGCTTCAAAATTGCTGACGGTGGGGGCTCAGTACTAGAAGAATTTGACGAACAGGACGAACTAGACGAATCAGTAAACGAACTTGTCGCAATAGACCCATGTTTTCGACGGCGCTTGGTCCGACGTTTTGCCACGGCTGTGCACAAGGAAATAAAACAGTGAGCAAGAGAGGCTGCGACGACAACATATGGGTGAAACGATCACATTGCACAAAAGCTGTTCCTAAGCAGAAAAATGCACCCGCAGAGTGCACTAAGCCTTGAGTTGGCGATAGAAAAAGCCGCAGCTGCTACCATAGGACCCTCAGCTTCCGTATCGGTTTCCTTTATAGGACTGTATGTTGCAACTGGAAGTGACGATGGCACTGGCATAGGTGCTGCTGCTTCCATGCCCATTGCTGAGTTGGCCTGAGCATCTGCTCAGTGGCAACACGTTCGGCTTGCACTTTTTTGCAGCGGCCGATTAAGCTTGACATCAGCCTGTTCTTGAGATTTCTCGAGGAAAGGAGAGGACAGATAAACTGTCGGTTCCTGTGGCTGAGCCTGAAATTTAGCTTGTTGAGCTTCCCATTGTTGCTCAGATAAAGATACTCGGGGAGGACGTCCATCTTTTGAAGATGTAGCTTTGTCCAAATAAATTGCTCGAGTAAACTAGTGCCACGTCATCTTCGATTGCCAGGGGAGACGCCTAAGCAGGTTTGGGAGTCGCTGTGGGATCAGGAACTGTTGATTCATTGTGCTGAAACCGAGTAATCAGCTTTTTTGTAAAAATCCACACAATATCAACTCTGGCTCCACGCGGTGTAATTGCCCATCGCCGGTCCGAGGGCAAGTAGACTAAGGGGTGAAACTTGCAGAAGGGGTTCTCGCGCGTAAGCAACATTGGCGCTTGTTGATTTGATGTGTGCGTTGGACAAATACCCACCGAACTTTATCCCGCTGGACTTTCTTGTGGAGTGATGCAATTCACCCACGAATTGTGGAGTCCCCTCCTCACAGACTGGTTTATGACAGACTCGGCCGAAAAAAGAAGACGTATCGCGTTTGGCACTTTGCGCGAATGGTATCCCGATGCTCTGGCTGTCCATGATCCATTACTCTGGGATGTCTAATGCTCCGTGTGTCCTGAGGAAAGCTACAAGTACTGGAGTGATTGGGAGTTGAAATAAGCCCAGAAACTTGTGATTTGCAACCGTCTCCAACTGGATGGTTGATCCGCAGAAAGACAGATGCATGAACTCTTGTGAAATGATTCGTAGTCTCTGATTCTGAGTGCTACAAAGGATCAGGCGCTTGTCCACAGATCTACAGATAAATACTTCGGTGCGGTGAAGGTCGACGATCTCAGCCTGGTTGAGTTGATGGCTCCATTCGTTTGCCATGCAAGCTCTCCTGGGAGTCCACTCAGCACGGGACTGATTTGATTGCCTAGACAGGTGCCGCGACGCTGGCGAAAAATTCGTCCAGCTGACTGAAAGGCTCCTGCATCATACAAAAACTGTACAACGGCTAGGAGATCATGTGCTCTGACAGCGTTAAACTTGTCGAAAATTACGCGTGCGTGGCTTTGCTGGCCAAACAGCTTCCACGTTGGGCTGCTTCTTCAAAGAAACTGTAATGTCACCTGTGTAACCCTGGTCCAGATACTTTTCTGTCAAGCACTCCAGGGATCTCAAAGTTTGATGACGTGGTACGAATTAAGAAACCAACAAGATCATCATTGACCTCATTGAGGTGCACCTCACTGGGAGTGCGATGAAGAAGAGCAAGCAGATCCGACCACAGTTGTGGTATGGATTGAAGTCCAAGGGATCTGTCCCAGATCATTCGTACCAGCAACATGATGGCTTGGGATTCGTCGAAAGGGAGAGGCAGCATATGATATGATCGTCTGATAGCACTGCTCATTTCAGGCAACATTTCAAGCACTTCAGGATCTTGCCACATGCGCAATGCGGTTTTGTAATAGAACTAATGGAATTGAGGACAGAAGACCATCAAATGATTAGCCACCTGATCTTCACAGTGAATAACAAACTTCTGATTGAGTTTGTTGTGGACTGCTTGGATGTTTCTCCAAGTCAGCAGAGGATGCTTTTCTAAATGAAATCTGGTTAAAAGACTCTGCCAATTCGGCAGGCAGACCCTGCTTACGTCGCCATCTTTCAAACTTGGCAATTGGTTCGAAGAAATGTCTCTCGCGATGGAAAAAGTGTGGAGGCAGCACTTCCTGCCCCAAGAAACCCACATGCCGGATGGATGGGCGACAGGTTTTCAATTCCTGTTCACCCACAAAGGAATCATCAGAAAGAAGATCACGAAACAAATCGCAGTAGCAAGGTAGCTCTTTTTAAGACTTGTTATTGAGCCACTCATCCCACTGTTCATTATTGTGGAGCAAATCCTTCAAGGTTTGAAGGAACGTGAAAAAGAATGTCGCTTCCAACCCACTGGGGCACAGATGGGGCACACGACTTGAAAAAGCTGGGTCCGCAGTGAGTTGTAGCTGTAGCCGCATGACTCGTTGGGCCACGTCATGTGCCGCGTCTGGAATGCTGCCTGGCGCACTGTGCTGCGACTGGGTTCCCCAAGATTCTTGCTGAGCCGTATCAACCGCGAAGCTTGTCAGGGAACCATCTCTGGGAACGAACTGTTTTGCTGGCTTCAAAGGATTGCCGTGTGAAGCTAGCAAGATCATAAAGCGTGTTCCATGCTTGTTGTCTCGAGCGTTGAAATTTTAAGGCTGCTAGGTGGGACAAAGCTTCTTTCGGAGCTTGATCCACAATTTGCGGCCGAACTTTGAGTAGGAGTTCCGGCGTGTTTTGGAATTCGCTCGGAATCCTAAGCCGGTTCTCTGCAAATGCACGGTTTTAAACGGATAGCTCAACTTGGGTGGCCAGGAGTCTATGAGCGTATGCTCTACAATCCATGCTTTGCGGTCGTAAATCACACGTAGCAACCTGAAATGTGGTGTATGCACAACAGTCCTGAACTGTGCCAATAACGAATTGCGAGATCAGCCTGCTTTTCTCGGCCTTCAGAGAACTGTCGAGTATGTGACATTCTGTTGGGTTCTATGCTCGCGACTGTTACCGATGTAGAACCCGCATACATGTAAGTGGATGCAACAGACTTAAAAAGGTGCCAGTCTACAACAGACTTCATGTACACAGCACTTGGCCGCAAGAATCGGCCATGTGTACATGGCAGCATGAGTGTGCACTGATCGGAGTTTCTCCCCAGGGCTTCTGCCTGAGATTGCTGTGCAGTGTCATTGCAAGGGAACAGAAAGCGAGATGTAGCAATCCCTGCGAACAGATCATGGAAGCTTTCGGAAATGCAAGACAATGGTGAAGATAAAAGTGCAGGCCTCTCAAAGGTTTGCAAATTTGATCGTTTTAAAGTTTACGATGATGGCTCATCATCTGCAGGGCTTCGTATGTGACTGTCGACAAATTTTGCTTTATTGTCAGACGTGCAGCCGATTTTTCGTCGAGCCCGAATTTCATCGGCGCTGCTGCTAGATCCTGCCTGGCATGGCCTTGCCTGAGAACATCTTTAACAGTGCTCACATGCTTGTTCAATACAGTTTCGGGATGGTTTTTCAAAAGTTTCCGGGCTACATCTTCTGCAGAGGCTTTGTTCTGCTCTGCCTTTTCAAAGGGCTTGGGCTTTGTTTCCTCCTGCAGTGGCAACTCAGTGCCTTCGGGATCCGTGGACCGAGCTTCCCTTTTGTCGGGAGTCAGGGCTGAACCGTGGCCTGCCAGCCTGGCCTTCGCCTTTGACAGAGCCTCACATTCTTCGGTGGTGGGTTTCGCTGGCAGCTTGGCTTTCACGTGATCCACCAAGTCAGACGACAATTCTGCATGAATTTTGTGGCATCTTTGTGCTTGTCTGGGACTTCTCCCGAAAAGAAATTTCATGCCACTGCATCAGTGTCCAAATCTAGATCTCGGACTCGTTTCCAAATTTGGGCTGTGAAGACAGCTTCCGATGCGGACCGATTTCTTGGTATCGACCTTCACTCAAAAGTCTGAAGCAAAACTCGGACATGCCCCGCTGGGAGTTCCCACGCCCGAATGTCTTCGACTGAGGGTCCTGCCAAAATGCACTTGCAGCTACATTCAGTAGGCTGAAATTGTTGATGGCCTTGCTTACCTACCGCTTGGCGATGCCAAAACTTGTCGTCAGACTGAAACGAAGATGGAAAAGAAGGCTTCGGAGCTGAAGGTGGGCTGGCTTTGGATGCTGTAGGGTCCGAAGACCTGTTCCAGGCTGAATCGTTGTTGGGCCAGCTTTGCCAACTGCTGGAAGACCACCTTGGGTCTTGCCGCCATGTGTTCTAGCGATCATTCCACTTTTTTTGCGTACCAATCAGACATGGCTCCAAATGAAGAGAGCGGTGGGAGGATATTGCAGCTGAGGCTAACACGGTTCCTGGTTGGGCCCAGCAAGTCTCAAGGCTGAACGTATGCGATCCTCGCCAGCAGAGCGAAACAAAAGGAACCAGCCTAGCAACTGATCGATCAGTATCGTGGTTGTGCTGAGAGCCGATCAGGGCTCAAGCAAACGGAACTGATTAATTAGGGTTCAGAACCGTACAAGGTTCAATGCAGTTGGCTCTCCTACCGTAGACGGCACGTTGAACGAAAACCCGTCGAGATACGCAGTTGTGCCATCTTCCCTCTGGTTTGATCTTGTTTTTATGTCCTAGTGACAGATTAAAGATGCGTGGCCACTAGGCAATTAGATGATGACTTTACCCACATCCTCGGCTCAGCCTGGTTGTCATAAGACTGACGGCATGAAGACTGCAGCATACATCCAGAAAAATGGCTTCAGATTGTCGCAACCGTGCACAGAGCACGTCAAGATTTAAACAACCGCGGCGAGTATAATATTTTGGGTCACACGCGGCAGGTACACAGTGGTGATCAGCCAATGCATCCACTCCACTGACTCGGCTTCGTTGGCTTGTCAATGGAACCCTTGCCGTCATCGTCACTAGATATATCCCCGGCTTTTTTCTACTGTACATCTTCAATCCCTTGGTCACAGGGTCACTCAGAAGAATGGCTGGTTGTCTGACCTGGTGGCAAAGAAATCGGCAGAACTCAATATTCAATATTAAGGAATTCCACCGGGAATGTGTGGCCTGCGCTGTCGTTCAGCATAGAACGAAGCTGACCCCACACATATGGCAAACATAGTCGAGAGCAACAAATTATTTCAATCTTTGGGAACAAGCTGGACCCTGGCTTCAGCTGCAATTCCTGTCGGCCCTGAACTGTGGACTGTCGGATGAAGCTGGTCACTGGTTTTGTCGCATGCATCTGGAAGTCCTGCCAGCCCACGGCTACGGTGAACAAACCTCGAGCTGTAGCAGCGTTTCGCGGCACCTCGACAATTACAAAGCCTGCCGGATCATTGCTTCTGCTCGGCTCTGCAACAGGATGTCGTACTTCGACTTCGGCTTACTTCGGTAGGTGCACGGTGCTGGCATGGCAAGAGCGATAAGCGGCACATCCCCATAATGAAGACAATGAGGTCACCACGTGGTCCCCGGGACGGTCAGGCCGATTCTGTTCGCAGCGTGAGGGATTGGTAGCGCAAAGAAACTTCCATGCGCACCTCGGCGCCCACAGCGAAGTACAAAGACAAGCATATGTGCACCGACGTCTGCACGGACTGTCTACTTGCAATCACCTCGGCGTCACCTGTTGCCGCACGAAGCAGCAGTGTCAGGGTCTCTTGCTTGCTTGCGAGGGGGTTTGGAGGCCGCAATCTCTCTCTCTCTCTCTCTCCTTCTTCTTCTTCTTCTTCTTCCGCCGGGTTTGAGGGGCGAGTAAGGCCCCCCGGCCCATAGGGGGGAGCAGCAGTGCACGTACCACTGGATAAAGTCTCTGTCTCTCTCTCTCTCTCTTTCTCTCTCTTTCGCTCTCCCGCGTTGCGCACATCGTCACCGGCATGTTACCACGCAGCACACAAGCACACTCACGGATAGTTTTCACTCCGGCTCACCAACAACCAAATACACAGACCTCTGGTTTCAGGTGAGGACAATCGTTGCCATGCTCGTCTGAGCACGCCGAAATCATTGTACCGCTTTCTTTTTTCTTTCGGCAGGGCCATGGGCAAGAGGGTTTAGGGCTTAGGGTTTTGTGGTACCGGTTTCTCTCTCTCCCCTTGGACCGGTCTAACAGCAGCTACTGTAATTTGTTTGTACAACTTCCCAGCTAGTTGCAAGAGACGCAAAAATGCAACGCGGCTTCAGATTGTACGTTTCGTTTTGTTTTGAATCAGCAAGCAGTAGGGGAACATGGTAGTCTCGAAGCTACACTTATCAACGGAGAGTCTTTGGGCGGCGCAGGCTTGAAGCGCTTCGTGGATGGAGTGGGCGCAGCGCACGCTGGGAACATCCATGCCGAGAGCTTGCCTTCCGACACAGCGACTAACAACCACATGAGTTTCAGTTAGCAGCTCGTGCTCCTGACCCAGTTTTCATTTCCAAGCTGCCTGGACGTTCGAGGTAGTGGGCAGCTCCAGCCGCATCTGTCGGACGAAAACTGCACAACATCCGCGATTGCCCGGCACCTTCAGGTTTTCCCAAAGCCTTTCTTCCTGTTCTCGTATAAATGGCAATTTACTTGCATGCTTTTTGTTTGTTGCTTCCAGGGCTCCGGATAGCGCATCCGCGACCTGGCATGTGAAACTGCAGAGCCATGTTATAGCATGCAATAGTGCATGCTGTGCCAGTAAATGCACTCTGCGATAGCCTTATTGCGGGGTTGGCTTGTGTCAGACTAGTATTCCGCCATCACGTAACTACTACCTCCCCCTTGCTACACCGATTTTTGAAGTGGGGCCCTGGGTGGGCGTGGGACATCCTGCGGCTCAGCAGCTCTGATGGGCTCAACATCACCTCAGAAAAGTTGGATGTATACACACATATTATAAATATATCTACACATACTGTATGTATTGAAATTTGTACTTATATGTATATGCAGACCCATATCGATACTGCATTCGTTTAAGATAACGGATTATTCCTGTCTACTGTGCTATTGCCCAAGTCTGCCGGACTGTCTCTTCAGCAAAGCACGAAGGAGGGCATAGTGTGCTCAGGTCTCTATGCCGGCCCTGTGCTAGTGACTGCTGGTGCTGCATTGCCCCTGTTTTTGCAGCCCAAGCTTCCAAGAACACGGTCAGCATGGAAGAGAGTGAGATGGACATGAGTCGCATGTGGCTTGGCCACCTCACAGCTTCGAGCGAGGCAGCCGAATGAAATGCATGTCGACGCAGCTACTTGCACTCAGCCCACCACAAGTATCGCCAACGTTTCGTGCCATGCCACTTCGACACAGTGATCCTCACCAGTCTCCAGCTGCCGCGCTGACACATCTTGTAGAAAGCGCGACTTGGCAGAAAGGTACTGGAGGACTTGCGCATGGTCAACCTGAACGATATCAGCCACCTCTTCAGGCTCAACACCTCTAGCCGTGAGCTGGTCAATGGCCTGATACAGGCACTGGGGTATGGGCAAATGGAAATCGGGCTCCTCAGGAGACCGCCTCCCTGCAGAACTGCGGTAGCTACTGCCATGCACCCCATCTTCGCTCAGCGAGCACTCCCAGAACAAACTGGTCAAGCTTGAACCTGCGAGTTCTTCTGGGAAGCCCGTTCCACCATGAAGCTCCACCAAGATTATGCCACCAGGCGCACAGGCAGGGGCATGCTCAACGTCTGGCACGCGCGGAGAAATCTCAAACCATCTACCAAGAACATCCACCTCTGAGGGTACTCCGGTGTTGACCGGATCATCTACATGAAGCAGCCCACGTTTGACCTGCGAAGTGTCCAGTGCAAAACGGCAGGCCCCCGAGTCTGGTCGAGGCCTGTGTGAAAGTAGCTCACGAACCGTCATGCGCAAGCGCCCAAGGAGTCCGACAAAGTTTCGCTGCAGAAAACCGCCATCATCATCTCTGACATCGATGAGGAGTTCTTGATCTTTGTGATAGACGATGAAAAAGAAAGGGTCATCATTCCAATCGGGGTTTGTGGTTGCTCTGACTGTGCTCGTCTGGGCTGTACTGCTGCCCACCTGTATCACACAGTATGGGTTGGAGTTGAAGCTTCGCACGTTTGAGCCCATTGCCATGCGCCAGTTGGCACCTGCCAAGTTGATGCCCCGCAGGACTCGCACTTCAAGGACACCGATGGGCTCCCTGCCGCAAGCCGCCAAATTCAACAAACGCTCATCAGTCGTGAGGCGGATGCATTTGCAATTCGGAAGCACAAAATGGGACAGTGAGGCATCCACGATTCCTTGAATCTTCTTGGCCAAACCCGGCAGAGGAGCATCTGCAATGCCCTTAAACTCCAACTCCAACTGCGGTTGTCCAGCAAAGGATATCAAAACGGCACCAACAACTGGCCAGGTATCCAGGACTGGCTTCATTTCCATGCACAACCTTCCGTGGAATCTAATCTGTTGAACTCCCACCGACACACCCGACCCTTCATACCCCGACAGCAGGATGTCCACGATGCTGAAATAGCGCATTTCCACCTCAATGCATATGTGGCTGTCAGATCGACGAATGACATCAATCGGACCAAAGCTGGGAACCCCGTCCCCAAGAGAGAACCTTGCGAAGTGTGCACGCTTGAAGGGAAGCGGCAGTCCGTGCTGTAGCTTGGACGTTAGCTCATTGCGGGCGAAGGCCACCAAGGCTGCCGTGGCCTTTGGCCAAAGAGCCCTGAGCAAACTATTTACCCAGACCAGATTGCTTGTTTCCGATTCAGGTTCGTCATCCTCGGCCATGCAGCTCGGTGCTTCATGGGGTTGGGCCAATTTGCAGATCATGATCGTGAACGTTCACATGCGCCTTGCCACCTCTATCGATCGCACAAGTCTTGCAGGGCATCACTCGCACATCTTTTCAGCATGACGATGATGATGATCCTCTGCGGTCTTTGCCGTTTCGCACATTCAGTGTCAGCAGCCAGCGTTCTGAGCAAACAAGTCCCACAAGTCCGTCATCTGCGAGCATGAGATTATAAAACGCACATGCGCGCATGTGAGAACAATCTGGCCATGACTTGGCAGTGAAACAAGTAAACATTTCGCCGGATCATGACAGGTCTTAGGACCCAGTGCGACGAAGGATGCTTTTGCTCTCCAATTTTCAGCTGCTGTCCAAGTCGTGTCGCCACCTTGCAGGTGGACTTGTTGCACGACCCAAGTTGGCGAAGGGCCAGGATGCAGTGGAGGCATGCTCTCAAAATCTTTCAAACTATCAAACTGACACGTAGCAGCTGAGCCTCAAAAGATGCTGGCAAAAATCAACGGCCCTCCTTTTAGAGGACTTGGCCTGCCGCGCCAAGTCAGATACACCTTTGCCCTGCTGCGCCAGAGGTTTCGGTGCTGATTTTCGAACTGAGCCCCGTGCTGCCACATGCAATGAGATCCGCTGCACCACAACTCAAGGTGCTCGGAAGACCTCGCTTGCTGGATCTGCAATGATGCTCCAAGTGCCCCAACGAATGTCGCGTGCCGTGTAGCAACCAAGGCCAAGACTGGGGGGAGGCGGGTCATCGATGCTACAGGTTCACTGGGTAAGGCAGGACGAGCTGGAGGTCCACCCATCTTTAATTGTGCAAGCTCCGCAGCATCCAAAACTCCGTCTCCGTTTGCATCTAAGGCATCAAAGAGAGCCATGGTTGATGCGGTGACTGCCTGTTCCGCAGGACCGGCAATCCCCGCTTGGGCACCGTGGCTGACAGTGTGTGCTGCTGCTGCTGGTGCTGCTGCGGGCGCTGGTGAAACACCAAATCGAACTCCAGTCGGTGCAGGCATCCCACCTCGCACATATGAAACATAGCTGGTCGACACTGGGCTACCTTGCGCTGCGTAGACCGTGGCGGCTGCGACCGTGCGCGGCATCAGTGGAGCTGCTTGAGTTGCAGCTGGCGCCGCTCCGGGGACGGAGGTCGGCGGTGCCAGCTGTGCAGCCGGAATCAACGGTGCTTCCTCTGCTCTCTCCACGTCAGCAGGCTCAGGGCGTTCCACAGCAACGCTTCGCTCACCTTTGCGGGGCCTCTTCTTGGACCTCGGATACATACAAGGCTGCAACTCTTGACACACTTCGCGCAAACCTTCCGAAAACCAAGACTGAACCGGGATACGTGAGGACGTAGCTCGCGCAGCAAACCAGCAGCACAATCACAGCTGCTGCCACGAGTGGCAACACAAGATGGGATCTGCCGTGGTCACACTGATCTCCGGAACAACCTTTTGCATCCTCAGAATCTTCAAAGATGAAGTGTGGCCAGCCACTACAAACAAACATTGAAATCAGGGCGGAAAACGGAGAACTGCGAGATACAGATGAAGCGTGATTGTACATCTCAGCGGCAAGTGGAATTGCGGCCACCTCTGCATCCTCCTCCGAGGCCTCCTTGGCCTGGCCAGGGAAAATAACGACGACAGTGTTTCAGCATGTCAGTGACTCTCGTGAACACATGCCCGAACTGTGCCCGCCTTTATTCCCATCGGCTGCTTCGGCCTAAGCAAGCCAAAAACTTCGCAACATGTGAGAACTGCTGCTAGGGTAGGCTTAATTCGAATATCCAGAAGCGACACACCCCAAGAATTTCCAGGCAACGACACGATTTAGTTTGTCCGGAATTGTCCAGAACTTGGGAAAGTGCTTTGGAAGGATCCGAGCTGCGTGGACCTGACCACAATGTCGTGTGCAGTGAATGCACCCGACGACGCAGCTTCCTCTGCAGCTGATGTACCAACGCTTGCAGCCTCGGGCCATCATCGCTTCACATGCAAACAGAACAAGGCCGTCAGCCAGTGCCTCCTCGGAATCCAGGCCGGCAGCCTTCGCAGCTTTCCTGAGTATGATTCACCAGTTTGTTCGCTTCTCTTTTCGCATGCTTGCAGCACGTTCCACTCTTTTGTGCACGTGCGTTGCCTGCTTTTCAGACTCCTTCAAGACACTTTTTATATTCCATGTTATTTCCAAGTGGCACGGCAGCACTCCGTGCTGCCTCCTCAGCTCCAACCAGATTCATACCTCCATTCATCGCCGTTCTGCCGGCGGCTTCTGCGGCGGCTTTGGCTTGCTCGGCAGGTGTCTTCCCTTCAGCCGCCGCAACTCTGGCAGCTTCCGCGCCGGCTTCCGCTGCATCAATCCCTGCCTTTCTGTCGGGCATTTTCTGTATCCCCTCGCTTTGAGACGATTTCTCTGCTCCCTCCGTTAAGGGTGCGATGGTTGCGCTTGTGTGCCCACTCACGGAGCCACCATTCACTGCAAAAGCAGCTGCGCGTGCAATTTCTGCTGCTTGTTCTTTGGAGCTACCAGCATTGAAAGCCGCGTTTTCGGCTGCACTTTTCATGACTGCTGGTGATTCGGCAGATGCTGCCACCGCCGCTTGGAGGGCCACCTGTTCTGGAGTCGGCAAGGTTGCAGTTGCATTCTTTGCCATTGCTGGTGCTATAGTGGGTGCCTCAGCTGTTGCTGGTGCTACGACGGGCGTTGCAATGGGTGCTGGATTCTCGGGCATGCCGGTCGGCATTACAGTAGCGCTCTTGACTTCTTTCAAGGGTGCACTTGGGACTTCTGGTGCAGTCTGGACTGGTAGTGGTGCTGGCGCAGGCGCCCGGCCTTTACTAGTTGCCAGCCCCAGAGTGTGAAGTGCTGCCATTTCCGCGGCTGCTGCCGACAGGCCTGCAGCTGCAGCATAAGTATCGGCTGCTCGCGTCACTGCCGCTTTCTGGTCCTCTGCACTAATGCCAGCAGAAAGTGTAACCTTGACAACCGCCTCCGTTATGGTGGCAATCAGTGCTTCGCCCGACTTGCCAGCTGCTACAGCGGCCGTGTGGGCCGCAGCTGCTGCAGCTGTGATTGCGGAATCCTTGCCTTCGCCAGCAGCCTGTGATGCGCTGGCAGCCCCCTGCGCGGCTACAAATGCAGCATCCGCTGCATGCAGCCCCATTTGCCCAGCAGCCGTGCCTGCTGCGACTGCTGCAGCATGCGCCTGCTGTTGGAAGCCCTTATCTGCTTCCGCCGCCACCTGAGTAGCCGCTTCAGCCACCTCTGCCAGCTGCTCCTGCGGAGTGCCTCGCGAAACCGCTGCCTGAGCAGCTATAGTTGCAGCTTTCATTTGGCTTGGCGTCTGTCCTGTTGAACTGCTTTGAGATGCTTCTTCGACACCAGCAGCTACAATCTTGGCGGCAGCCTCGGGTGGCGCATCGATTTGCTTGGCGTACTGCCCCGCTGCTAGAGCTGCTTGCCGTACTTGCTCTTCCGCTGTAGCACCACCAGCGGCGGCTTCCTTTGCAGCAGCCTGTGCTGCAATAGCTATCTGTTCGTGAGCTACGTTGCTCTTGGAATGATCTGGCACGATGCATTCATGGTGCCAAGTTGTGAAGTGCACATTGCCTTGGCACTCCTTTGGAGAGTCTGCATCATAGCCCTCCCGACAGCAAGCATTTCCAACCCCACAGAATTCGCAAAAGCCTGATCTTTGCTTGCATTCATACCAGCAATCGAGGCCAATATTCTGCAAAGGCAGGGCTGCACCAGCAGCGGCTGGAGGGTGCATGCTGTTCGGCTGGTCTTGCTTTCCTACTACAGCGACTTGCTGCCCCTGCGAGTCTCCTTCTTTTGGCAGGGCCGGCGCTTCTTCAACCTCAGCGACAGAAAGGGTTTGGATGCTTCGTCCGAGACTTACCATCCAATACTCTCTCGCTATGGCCTTCCCCGTGGCGTCTTCATAGAGATGATCCGCATAAGCCACACCTGCTCTGCAACCTGAAGGGTTACAGAGCTTCAGCCGGAAAGATGACTCTTGTACCATCCATTTCGTTTGGACCCCTCACCGATTGCAACACTGCGGCTGTTGTCGGAAAGCTGACAAGCTGAACCACATTTCAAGGACAAGCCGATAAGCTGATGGGCACTTGTGGCTACTGTCTGCAATGTCTCAGCAGCGTGGGATTCAGGACATGCAATCCAATCAGATCTGCTGGAGGGGCCATACCTCGCCTGCAACCGTGCGTGGCCCAGGAATGTTTTTGAAGGCATGGCCGCCACCGTTGATTATAAAGTCGTAGGGTTCGCCTGAGACTGCGTCTGCAAAGAGTCATGCGCGCTGGAGAACATGGGCTGTCTCACACACCGTAATGGCCTTAGATTCTATGCCACGTCAAGCAGCACAAATTGTCATTGTTTCCATGGCAGGGCTTCCCCCCGCACCAGACACAGGGCTGGGCATGAACGTCGAAGCCGGCAACTTTGATGAACGGGCGGCCATCCCTGCCTTCAAAGGGACTAACACACGATTGGGTTTAAAGCAGCGCATGCCATTCGCCATAGTGGTGGCCGAGGCACTTGTCAGGCATTTGTCTTTTTCCTTATCTGATGCAGTTTATCACATCAAGTGCTCATGGTGTTCTCCCATTCTCAACCATTTATCTGTCACAACTCCGTCAACCAGCAACTTAGGCATTCGCTCGGATGTTGTTGCATCCTTCGGGTTGCATCTGCAAGCAACCCACTTCCTCGATGTCGAATAGTGTTTCCTCGGAACACCTCACTCAGCAGATCAGAGAACAGGTGCGGTGCAAGCATGTTGTGCACGCAGCGTACTTTCATCGAGGCCCGAACATGGCTGTCTTGCGGATTTTGGATGAAGCCTTTGCGAAAGCTAGTCCTTCCCCGTGTTGAAGCCAGTCATAGGGCTCGCCTGCGATGCCGTCGGCTGAATTCAAGCAAAATCCAAGCACTGCTATAGCTACAACTCAACACCCCCTTCTGGGCGCACCCACACCGATGCAGGCAAGGCCGTAAAGACACAAGCATTGACACAATCTCACGTGCACGTGTGCACGCAGACAGACAGACAGACAGACAGACAGACAGCCAGCCAGCCAGCCAGGCAGGCAGACAGGCAGACAGACAGACAGACACACAGACACACAGACACACAGACACACAGACACACAGACACACAGACACA